GGAGGGGAGGGGAGGGAAAGGAAGGGAAGGGAAGGCAAGGAAAGGCAACCTATGGAATGGGAGAAAACATTTGCAAGCCACATATCCAATAAAGGGTTACTATCCAAAATATATAAGGAACTCACACAACTCAATAGCAAAAAAACAATAACCCAATTAAAAAATGGGCAAAAGACCTGAATAGATATTTTTCCAAAGAAGACATACAAATGGCCAATAGGTATATGAAGAGATGCTCAACATCACCAATCATCAGGAAGTGCAAATCAAAGCCACAATGAGAAATCACCTCACACCTGTTAGGATGTCTGTTAACAAAAAGACAAGAGATAACAAATGCTGGTAACGATGTGGAGAAAAGAGAACCCTTGTGCACTGTCAGTGGGAATGTAAATTAGTACAGTCACTATGGGAAACAGTATGGAAGTTCCTCAAAAAATTAAAAATAGAACTACTATATGATCCAGCAATCCCACTTCTGGGTATATATCCAAAGGAAAAGAAATCACTATCTTGAAGAGATATCTGTACTCCCATGTTCATTGCAGCATTATTTACAACAGCCAAGAATGGAAACAACCCAAGTGTCCGTTAATGGATGAATGGATCAAGAAAATAAATAAAGACAAATACTGCATGGTATCACTTATACGTGGAATCTAAAAAAAAAAGTTGAATTCATAGAAACAGAGAGTAGAATGGTGGTTGCCAGGAGATACAGGGGTGGGGAAAGGTTGGTGAAAGGGAACAAATTTTCACTTATAAGATGACTAAGTCTGGGGCTGGCCCCATGGCTTAGCGGTTAAGTGCACGCTCTGCTGCTGGCGGCCCAGGTTCGGATCCCGGGCGTGCACCGACGTACCGCTTCTCTGGCCATGCTGAGGCCGTGTCCCACATAACAGCAACTAGAAGGATGTGCAAATATGACATACAACTATCTACTGGGGCTTTGAGGGAAAAAAAAAAAAGATGACTAAGTCTGAGGATTGAATATATAATGGTGACTATAGTTGATAATACTGTATTGTATAATTGAAATTTGCTAAGAAAGTAGAATCTTAAGTGTTCTCATCACACGCATACACACACACACACAAAGTAAGTATGTGAGGTGATGGAGATATTAATTAACTTGATTGTGGGAATCCTTTCACAATGTATATGTATAACAACTCACCATGTTGTACACTTTAAACAAATTACAATTTGTCAATTATATCTCAATAAAGCTAGGGGGAAAAAAGGGCAAAGGACCTGAACAGATACTTCACCAAAGAAGAGATACAGATGGCAGGTAAGCATATAAAAAGATGTTCAAGGGGCTGGCCCCACGGCGTAGTGGTTAAGTTCAGCGCACTCCACTTCAGTGGCCTGGGTTCGTGGATTTGGATACCAGGTGCAGACCTACACCACTCGTCAGCCACGTTGTGGTAGCAACCCACACAAAATAGAGAAAGATTGGCACAGATGTTAGCTCAGGGTGAATCTTCCTCAAAAAAAAAAAAAGAGATGTTCAACATCATATGTCATTAGGGAATTGGAAATTAAAACAAGATACCACTACATATCTATCAGAATAGCCAAAATTAAAAACACTGACAGCAACAGATGCTGATGAGGATGTGGAGCAACAGGAACTCTCATTCGTCGCTGGTGAGAAGGCAAAATAATATATCACTTTGGAAGACAGTTTGGTGGTTTCTTACAACACTAAACATAGTCTTACCATATGATCCAGCAATCACACTCATTGGTATTTACCCAAATGAACTGAAAACTTACTTCCACACTAAAACTTACACATGGATGTTTATAGCAGCTTTATTCATAATTGCCAAAACTCGGAAGCAACCAAGATGTCTTTCAGTTGGTGAATGGATAAATAAATTGTGGTACCTACAATGGAATATTATTCAGAGCTAAAAAGAAATGAGCTATCAAGCCATGAAAAGGCATGGAGGAAACTTAAATGCATATTACTAAGTGAAAGAAGCCAATTTGAGAAGCCTACATACTGTGTGATTCCAACTATATGACATTCTGGAAAAAGAAAAACTATGGAGAGAGTAAAAAGATTAGTGGTTGCCAAGGCTTAAAGGTGAGGGATGGATGAACAGCCAGGGCACAGAGGATTTTTAGGGCAGTGAGACTATCCTGTATGATACTATGATGATGGATACATGTCATTATTCACTTGTCAACACCCACAGAATGTACAATGCCAAGAGTAGACTCTAATGTAAACTATGGACTTTGGGTGATAACATGTCAACGTGGGTTCATCAATTGTAGCAAATGTACCACTGTGGTGTGAGATGTTAATAGTGCGAGAGGCTGTGCATGTGTGGGGACAGGGAGCTCTCTGTACTTTCCACTCAATTTTGCTGTGAACTCAAAATTGCTCCAAAAAATGAATTTTATTAATTAAACGAAACAACCAACAAAAACAAAAACAAAAACAAAAAACCCCAGCAATCCAACAGATCCAGGAATCTCAGCGAACACAAAGCAGGATAAACACAAAGAAAATCAACTCAACCACATCACAACCAATCTGTTGAAAACCAAGGGTAAAGAGAAAATCTTAAAAGCCAAAGAAAATACACATATTATATCCAAGGGAACAACAATAAGGAAGATAGCCAATTTCTCATGAGAAATTGCAAATGTCTACATAAGCCAGAAGACCATGGAACAACATCTTTAAAGTGCTAAAAGAAGAGAAAACTGCCAGCCTATCATTTTATATCCAGTGAAAATATGTTTCAAAAATTAAGGTAAAATAAAGCCAGTTTTAGATAAACAGATACAGCAAGGATTTGTTGCCAGCAGACCTACACTACAAGAAAGGCTAAAGGACATTCTTTAGGCTGAAGAGAAATGATCCCAGATGGAAATCTGGAGCTAAGGAAGGTATAAAGAGTATTAGAAATGATAAATACATCAGTAGATGTAAACGACTATTTTTCTTTGTTTTCTTAACTTCTTTAAAAGTCAACTGAGTGTGTAAAGCAATAATAACAACAATGTTTTGAGGGGTTTACAACAAATGCAGGAGTAAAACATATGACAGCAATGGCTCAAGGAGAGAAGGGGGTGAATTATACAGTTGTAACATTCCTACTTATGCATGAATTGGTATAACATTAATTCAAGTAGACTGTGATAAGCCGAGGATGCATATCGTTATCTTTAGAGTAACCATGGAAAAATAACACAAAGAAGTATAGCTAAAAAGTCATATGAGGCAATAAAGCAGAATTGCAAATAGTACTCAATCCAAAAGAAGGCAGGAAAAGGGGAAAAAAGAAACAAAGAGGTTGGGGTAAATAGAACACAAATAACAAGATGGTTGACTTAAAGTGAACCATATCAATAATTATACATATCATTAAATGTAAATGAACTCAACAGTCAGACTGTTTAAAAAAAAGCAAGTATATGTGGTTTGCCAGAGATGCACTTTAAATAGAAAGACACAGGTTGTAAGTAAAAGGATTGAAAAAGATATACCACGCAAACCCTAAGCATTACAAAGCTGGTGTGGCTATTTTAGTATCAAAGTAGAATTCAAAACAAGGAATATTATTAGAGATAAAGGTACCATTTCATAAAAGATAAAAGGACCAAGAAGACATTAAAATACTGAATGTGTATGCACCTAAAAACGAAGCTTCAAAATACATGAAGCAAAAATTGACCAAACTAAAGGGAGAAATAGACAAATATACAATCATAGTTGGAGAGATGGAGGGTGAAAGAATGAAATACAGAGAGTCAGAGAGAGACACAGAGGGAAAGAGAGAGAAACAGATACAGAGACAAAGAGCCAGAGTGAGGGAGACAGAGATGGCCTGATTCTAAGAGGCCGACAAGACGGGAGACAGGGAAATAGAGGCGGAGCATGCCCTGGACAGGAGGGAGGGTCAGCAGTTCTGGCCCCCGGGGGTTGGAGCCAGAGCAGGGGTCTGTGCCTGTGGGATCCTGGAGGGGGTGCTGCAGGCTGGGCAGCATCACTCACCCGCTGCCCCGTGGAGCCTTGGGGGCCAGGTTCCCCCCGCAGTCCCTGTGTGAGAGGGAGGAGAGGAATGGAGTCAGCTGTCGGGGGTCTGACCCTGGGCCCCAGGACTCCCCACCTCCACCCGAGGCCGCCTCAGTACTCACTCTTTCGCCTTTCTCTCCTGGGTGGCCAGAGGTTCCTCTGGGTCCAGTGGGGCCTGGGGGTCCCTGAGCAACAAGACAGGACCTCAGCCTTGTACTGGGGCATGATGGAGTGGGCAGGGACTGGGGCGGGGCAGAGGGCTCGGGGAGGGAGCCCCAGCTTTGCCTGGGCCCAATGCTGAGCACACAGCGGGCAGTTCACACAGCTTGGGGTTATGGCCCCAGAGTTATGGCCCTGGAGTCAGACAGTCCCCACCCTGATCTGGAAGTTGCCATGTGCTGGCCACAGCCTTAGGGCAAGAATCTCCACCTTTCTGAGCCTTAGGTGATAACAATACTTGCTTCTTGTTACATAAATTGAATGAGAAAATGTACGGAAAGGAGTTTGCATATTAAGTGCTCCATAAATGCCTCAATAAATGAATAAAAGGATGGATGGATGATGTATAGGTGGGTGGACGGACAGAGGAGTGGGAGTACTTGCAGAAATACTCACCATATGTCCAGGACTCCCAGGGATGCCCATGGGACCAGGAGGTCCAGGGGGACCTGGAATGAGACAGGATGTCCTCAGGACCGAAACAGAGTACAATGCCAGGAAGCCCACCATCAGCTCCCTCCTGATAGCCACAGCCCTAGTCCCTCTGGCATTCCTCAACCCCACTCCTTACCCTAGACCTGGACTCAACTTACCCATGGGCCCTGGGGGGCCTGGGGGTCCAACTAGTCCCTGGGGCCAGTGGCTGCTGGTCTCAGTGAAGGTGTTAGACAGAAATGGGTCCCCTGGGGTAGGAAAGACAGTAAGTGAGCAGGGCTGGGCTGGGCTGGGCAGGGCTGGGCAGAGTGGGGTGGTTAGTCTTCACCTGCCACCTCTGCCAAGCCAGCTTTGACTGCCCTGTGGGACAGCCTACAGTGTTACTGGGGCCAATGGGCACCTGCTCCAAGGATGGGGAGAGGGGACAGTGTTGGCCACGCAGGACCAGGAGGCAAGGAGACCTGGGTTCTAACCCTGCCACAGTCTAGCTGGTGACATCCAGCAAGACAAGACTCTCCACTCTGCTGATCCTGTACTGTCACATGTCGAATGGGAATAATAATAAAAGATCCCATTTATTGACCACCTACTCTGTGCCAGGCTTCTGTGGTTGGGTGTCACAGAGCTCTGGGAGGCCAGCACTGTCACTATCCCCATCATACAGATGAGGCAGCAGGCTTGGAGAGAGAGAATGAATGGTGAGCTGGAATGAATGGGAGAATGAATGAATGGCACCTGGTCATGCACCAAAGATATGGCACAGACAGGGTTGAATCTGGCACTCCAAGCTCTGACCACTGGCAGCACACGTGTAGGTCAGGCTGGGGAGGAGGTGAAGGATGCACACCAGGGCCCAGCTGGGTGGAGGGGGCCGGGGCCTCTCTGAGCTCAGGTCCAGGGCCGTGGCCTTGGGAGCTCAGGGCTCACTTCCTGCTGCCAGGCCTTGAGCTCCCAGCGCTCTGAAGGCTGGATCCTGGCCAGCTCCACGGCTGGAGGAGGGCCTGATGCTGGGTGGTTCTGAGCAAGGCTCCGGGTTTGAAGTCAGTCCCCCATGGCCCAGCGTGACTGCCCTTCTCTGGCCCTCAGTATTCCCCATCTGTGAACAGAGGAGGACAACAGCACCTGCCGGAGGACTGAGTGACACGTGGCTGACCAAGGGCACGCCTGGTATACAGAAGGTGTCTGGTAGACGGCAGTAGCATTGTGGTAATGGTTATGCCAGCCTCACCCCACCCCACCTCAACCTGCCGTGACCCTGGGGGACTCACCATGCTGGGAGATCCGGGCGTGGGGTGGTCCAACAGGGGCTGGGGGGCCAGGGGGGCCTGGAGGCCCTGGTGGGCCCGGAGGTCCCCTCTCTCCAGGGGTGCCCATGGCTCCAGCCTGGCCAGGGCTCCCTGGGGGGCCCTGCGGACCTGCAATGGAACCAGGGGTGTTGGTGGGTGTGCAGGAGGCAGGGAGGCCCAGGGTGGCTGCGAGGGGACAGGACAAGGTAGCCTGGGGCAGCGGGTATGAGAGGGCTGGAGGCCACAAGCCTGGGCAGGTCCTGGCTCTGACCTCCCTGGTCGTCTATTAGGGTGATGAACACAGCCCTCCCCAGGGGCTTTTAACAGACACTTGGTACACAGTAGGTGCTTAGCAAACACTGATTTCCAGAATGTTCTCTTCTCTCCCTTCCAGGCTTTTGCATGAGCTGTTCCCTCTCAGTCCTCCCTTTGCTCTGCCTGGTGTCCACTTCAGGTCATCCTTTAGGCCTCACCTAAGATGTCACTCCCACTGGGAAGCCCTCCCCGGCCCCCACCCCATCCAGGCTGCGTCTGGGCTTCCTTCCTTGGGGCTCCCATACCTGCAATGTCCCCCAAAGAAGCCTGGTCACATGGTGGGGGGCACTGCTGTTTCTCCTCTGCCTACTCCCCCACACCCCGAGTCTGGGAGCTCCAGGAGGGTAAGGACTGGTCTGACCCCACCCCAGTGCCCAGCTCAGAGCCTGCTGGGAGTGGGTACCCAGGGAGCAGGCGCTGAGTGATTCAGAAGAAGGTTTTAGGGAGCCCAGGCATGAGTGGAGGGATGGTGAGCTGAGAGACAAGTGGTGGACGGAGCCCAGGCCACCTCTGGCCACATCAGGGTCCACCTGGGGGGCTGGCCATGGGAGCTGGGGGAGCAGTACTGTGGGCACTCACCTGGCGGGCCTCTCATCCCCATCGGGCCACGGCTGCCGGTGTCTCCCTTGGGGCCAGTGGGTCCAGGAAGCCCCCGGGTACCAACTCCACCTGGAGGAGAAAGCTCATCAGCTTAGCAGCTCCCACCTTGCTCTCACCCGGACCCTGGTCCACCCCGCTAGCCAGCACCTACCATCTCGAGGGAGCAGCGGGGCCCTCGTGTTTTCTCTGGCTCCAGGTAGCCCTGGGGATGGGGGGCGGGTAGGCAAGGGTCAGTGTCATTCAGAGTCCCTGCCCCTAGCTCCACCAGGGGGCAGGGGCAGGAGCTGCTGGGCCTCCCAGGACGCCAGTGCTCAGGGCCCCTGGACCCCTGGAGACCATCGCCTCAGGCCCATTGGAGAGCTGGAAACAGCGGCCCACAGGGGGTCAGGCAGGGAGTCAGCGGCAGAGTGGGGACTGGACTCTCGCTCTCCTGACTCATTCCCACATGGGGGTGTGGTCCCCACTGCCCCACTCACCTCGGAGGCCTCCATCCCCGGGGCTGCCCTGGGCAGCTGGAGAGCCCCAGAGCGGGGCGGGGTCCTCAGGGGCAGCTCGAGTCGGGGACATTGCCTGCTCGGTCACAGTCAGCACTGCCACCTGTGGAGGAAGAGGAAGATAGGGACGGGGTAGGTACCAGGGTCTCACCAGGGACAGGTCAGCGAGGGGCCCTGGTGTGGGAAGCAGGAGGCCCGTGTAGCCAGCAGAACCCAGCCTAGAGTAGAGATGTGGGCTCATGGGCCCAGAACTCCATCAGAAGTGACTGTGGTTTTCAAACTGCATAATTCATCCCATTCAATGTAGAAGAGTCATTACACACCATCACTGCCACCCAAGTTGAATTCTGTGACTGTCGCCGTGTTTGCTGGGCCATGTGGTTTTTTCCTATGCTTACCTACATAAATAATACGAAACTTCTCTTGGTCTGTTAAAGCACCACAGGCTGGAAGGATTTTTACTAAATTTGGAGGGATGTTTGGGAGAGTCTGACATGACATAAGAGGACATGAGGTATATACAAAACCACTTTTGGACCCAGTGTTGGGGAGACTCTGAAAGGCCCCCTGAGCCACTGACTGAGGATGAGAGAGAAGCCGGAATGCCCACTAACCAGGGCAGGGGACCACGTGGGCCTGTCCAGAGAAAAGCTGACACTCTTGGACAGACCCAGAACTGAGAACCACACCCCAGATCTGACTGCCCCTCATGCCAGCTTCTCCTGGGAGGAAGTTTGGGGAGCAATGGGGGGTTCCTGGGGCTCCCAGGCCTCACAACTGGGGTTCCAGCACACGCTGCTCAGAAGCTTCGCTCTTCCACTGGCTACACCAGGGGCATCTTTTCTCGTTAGAAGATGGAGATGTTGTTAACGGCTGTCTACTATTCCACAGAGCCATGTTCCCTAAGTGCAACCGCCCCTTCTGCTGTCTGGTTCTCAAATTTCCCTCTTAAGAGTAAACACTTTGGTAAACATCTTCACAGATAATCTCCTTGAGATGAGTTCCCAGAGGAGGGAATGATGGAGGAAAGCATATGCAGATCAAGTGCATATGCCTCTACGTGTGTTTAGAAAATCTGGATGAGAAGACGCTCAAATGTGGATGGTCGCTCTCTCTGGGGCACAGGCAGCTGTCACAAGTGGTTTTTCGGTAGGTTTTTCATGGTTCTGAATTTTTCCTGTTTCTACATTTAGAATGTCTTACTTTTTAATGGTTAAAAACCTTTTATCTTGAAATAATTTGAGATGTGCAATAGATGTTTTGCTTTTGAAACCGGGAAGATGATGTTATGGGAAGGAGGACAAAGGATGAAGGTGACAGGGCACAGAGGGGACCCAACTATGAGCTCTGGGGGGTGCCTATGAATATCTGGCTGGGACGGGGATGGGGGTGCACAAGGGGAGCTTCACGGGCCTCCTGGAGGAGAAGCAGGCCGGGCTGGCTGACGGTGAGCAGGGCTCCCGGGGAAGGGCACTGGAGGCAGGGCCGAGAAAGCTGGGTGGGAACCAACAGGAGGCAGGGAAGCCGCCTGCCCGTGGGTGTCGAAGCTCAGCTCAGAGCTGCAGTGTGGGAACGCTGAGTGGGCTGGGCGGGGGTTGCAGGGAGGGGTTGGGGAGGTGGGGGGCAAGGGGGCAGCTGCTCACCCACCTTGGCCTCCAGCACCTTCAGCCGCTCCGTCAGCTCCAACACTTTGCTGCAGTTGAGGCAACCTGCAGAGAGGGAGGAGGCTGGGGCTAGGGCCAGGGGTCCAGGTTTCCCGTGGAGCCCCTGGGCCTCTGGGGGCAGGATGGGTGGAGGGAGAGACACTTGATGACCCCAACCCATGAGACAGCCCAGCTCAAGGAAGGGGTACAGGGTCACAGCCTGTCCAGGGTGGGCCATGCCCTGCGGGTTTCCTTTGGCTCCGGAGCCTGCAGAGTGGACCGTTTCTCCCACAGCAGGACCAAGGACCCGACTTGGGCAGCCTCAGCATCCAAAATGACTCCTTTCCGGGAAGCCAGGGCAGGAAATCCTGTTGCTTCCCACCTGGGCGGGGCTGGCCTGGGCTTTCTGGCTTTGGAGACCAACACACCACAGTCTGGACTGGGCTGGCCTCAGAGGTGTCACCCTCTGACCGTCCCTCCAGAACCACCGTCCGGAAGCCTCCCCGTGATACCCCTAAGTCATTCATAACAGATCCTGTGATTACAGAACGTCCCGGCTGCCAGGCACCCTGGGGCCGAGCGCTTTACAAGCTCATCTTTCCAGTCTTCACCACAATGCTGTGTGTTAGGACCAGTGTCATCCCTGTTCATACCTGAGGACGCTGAGCTCAGAGCAAGGGTGGGGTGAGTGCTTGACAAGCACAGAGCCTGGGGTCGAGTCCCAGAGCTGCCCTTTCCTGGCTGTGCGGCCTCAGGAGGGCATGTCTCCTCTCTGACCCTCAGTTTCCTCCTCTTTAAAATGGGGACAATGATGCCTTCTGGGGGGTGGGGAACAGCGGTGAGGTTTAAACAAGTTGATGATGGAAAACACCTGGCGAGATGCCTTGCACATTGCAGACGCTCAGAAAAGTGTAATTTAAATAAAAAGAGGAAACTAGGGGCTTGGACCTGCGTCTGTGGGTCATGGGTCTCAGGGTTCCTGGGCTCAGGTCAGACTTCCCTCTGGGGCCCATCCTCTCCCCCTCACAGTTTCCTTTCTAGCCTGTGCGGGGGGCAAGGGCGGGGCACTATCCCTGACCCTCTACTGCTGGACCCGGCTGGCTTTTAGACAATCACTGCATTGCCTGTGCCCTCTCCACACCTCCCCTAGCCCAGGGGGACCCCAAGCAGCTGCCCCAGGACCCACCTGAGAAGGCTGTGGGCCGTAGCGCCATCCGCCGCAGGGTGTTTCCCGACCACCCAGGCTCCACGAAGCCAGAGGAGCCTGCAACTGAGGGACAGTGGGGTGAGAGCCCTGTGGCCTGCGCCACCCGTTTTGTCAGACCCCCTCATCTGCCACTGCAGCCCCAGTGCAGAGGGAGACAGAGGCCCAGAGAGGTGGGGGAGCTTACCTGGGTCACACGGCATGAACTGGGCTGAGCTGGAACAAGACTGCCAACTTGATGGGGGTGGGGAGAGGGGCTGGCAACGGGTCGGGGCTCTGAGTGAGGCTGGGGGCTTCCCCAATGACCCCAGCGAGCTGTATGGGTTAAGAGCTTAGAGCTAACAGATTCGAGGTCGCGTCCCAGCCCTGCCACTTGCTGACCTGTGTGATTTGTCCTCTCTGGACCTGCCTATTTTCCCATCTGTAAAATGGGATCATAAGGCCTCTACACCTTCCAGGCTGGTGTGAAGCTTGAGGATGGTTACGTGTGCAAAGCGCCCACTGTGCACACACAGGGCCTGGCACACAGTAGGCACTCAATAAACAGCAGCTGCAACATCACTGTCCACCCTCTCCCTGCCCCACTTGGTAAGAAGACACTGAAGTGGATCCAGCCCTGGTTTTAAATGAAAACCAGAGGGAGTCTGGCTGCCTTGGGGCGCAAGGGGGACCCATTCCAGGAGCCCACCCCTGCCGCCACCCCCACGAGGAGCAGGCCGCCCTGGCTGGTCTGGCTTTGGGAGCCTGGTTTTCTCCACAGCTGGAGGGATGGGCTGGACAAGCCAAGGACAGGGGGCCGCAGCTGGAGCCAGCAGTGGCTCTGCTCCCCCCACCCCCCCAGGCCTGCCTTTTAAGGCCACGAAGTGTCGTCTCGGGGGGAGACAAGACCCAAATAAGGCGCAGGCCTGGCAGCTCCAAGCCAGGCTGCGGGTTGATGCAGGGAGTGAGAGGCGCCAGGAACTCAAACCAGACGGGTCCCTCTGGCCCGCCCCCAGCGGGGAAGCTGCCAGACCCTGCTCCAGGTCCCACCACGGGGCCTTCACTGGGCTGGGCCTGCATCCCCGGCACACCCTCCCTGGGCGCCTGTGACTTGCCCCGGCACAGGGGGTAAATCTCACCCAGGGCGGAGAAAGGTGGGTTGGCAGCCCAGGACTGGGGCAGGGGTTGGGGGCTCTGTGGGCGGGGGGACGCCACTGTGAGCCATGCCCAGTGCTAAGCACTTTACATAGCCCAGCTCTATCCTACAAGGTAGGTAATAATAATGACCCTAAACACTCGTTTAGCACTTACTCTGGGCCCGGCACATTCTAAGCACTTGACATATACAGTCTTAACTCATTATCCTCACAAAACCCTGAGAGTGGGTGCTAGTATCATCTCCACTTTACAGATGAAGAAACCGAGGCACAGAGCAACTCAGTATCACCACTCCTCTGTCCCCCGTGCTCAGATAAATGGACGAGTGAATATGAATATTTCCCCTTGGAGGAAAACGAGGCAGAGAGGTGAAGTGATTGATCCTTTGTCGTCCACCTGAAGGCCGGAGCCTGGATTTGAACGCAGGGCCTGACCTCCTCTCTCCTGGGCACCCTGGAACCTCAAGTTGGGCCTCAAGCCCCACCAGGCAGAGGCAGGGAGGGCCCCTCCTGTTGGCTCCTGAGAAGAATGGCCTCTCCAAGCCCTCCTCATCCTCTTTGCTCCCAGGTGAAGATGGAAAAGGCCATTTTATCATCTTTTTCAGGAAGTCACCCAAAGGAAGCGGCCATCCTTCCAACCCCGTGGAAGTTTCGGTTTCCTCTGGGATGAAGCTTTGGCAGAGCATCTACCACCCCCCCGCACCCCCCCCCCGCTATCATTTTCTTTTTTTCTATGGCACTTTCCACCCTCTAACATGTCATTTTCTGTGCCGCTTTCCCAGTTTCCTGTCAATCGTCCGTCCCCCTGGCTGGGCCACAAGCCCCACCAGAGCAAGGACCTCATCTGTTTTGCATATGGTCTGCAAAAGTGCCCGGCGCGCAGTAGGGCCTCAGCAGCCTCAATAAACCTTTTGTTGGGGAATGCGTGAATCACTGGCTGAAAGTGAATTTACAGTAGGCAAACAAAATGAAAGGCAAAATAAAGGCAAAAAACCTGCAGACGGTAGACACAACTGTCTTGAAAATGCGCATAAATCTTCTACTGTCACACTAGGGTGTCCCTGAGTTATTAATCTGTGAACTTGTTGTTGGAAATTCTTTTTAAACCGATTTGCTTTCGGACATTTCACCGGGGAGCCAGCGAGAAACTAGAAAAACTAATGAAAACGTGGCCTGACCAGCAGCGCAGACGTAACTGGCTCAAAGTAATTGCAAGATAACATTACAAAAAAGAGTTTAAAGAAATAACAAGGCCGGCCCTGTGGCTTGGTGGTTAAGTGCG